GGTGAAAACAAGCACAGTTTTAGTAGCCTATATTTACATGTTTGTAGTAGAATAATAATTTCATTTTCTAAAAGAAGTACTACTGTGTGAAATCTTGACATGTCTTTATTTGAAATTAAATCAAGAATACATCGTGCAAATATTTAGATCTCTTCGATTATTGTTTTCCGTATTGTTTTTAAGTGCACCCTCCAATGGCTTCCGTGTTTGCTCTGCTCCTATTTTGTATTGTTTTATGGACTTTGATTTTGAATACTTTCTGCTATTTACATATCCTTTTCTTAAGTGCACACATCTATATAATTTTCTTTTGGAGACGCTGTATTGGCATAAATGTTTTAATCATTGTTCTGCATGGGGAAAGTTATACAATTTTCATTTTTATATATCATCTGAGGTCCATGAAAAAAAAATTGTCAATAATAAAACATAAATACGAAAAATGGTTTCAATAATGATCAAAACTAAGAGATGCCATATCGTTTTAATCAACAGCGAAAAATAATATAAAATTTTACATATTTTTATCAAAATATTGCACAATCTGACCCCCAGCACCATAATGTCATTGTAAATTTTATACATAGAAAAAAAGGGGAACAACCAGTAGACTAATTAAGAAAACAAAACATGGAAAAACATTGGCATGTATAGTATACATGTATCTTAGTTGAACCCCTGTGGCAACGCACTTTGAAAAAATTACGCACTTTGAAAAATTTTTTCAAAGTGCGTTAAATTTTGGGACCAGGTTAACGCACTTTGAAAAAATAATTTTTTTTTCAAAGAGCGTTAATATCGACCATATTAACGCACTTTGAAAAAATATTATTTTTTTTCAAAGTGCGTTAATATCGACCATATTAACGCACTTTGAAAAAAAAAATTTGCATGGCTTAGTCAATATTCCTACAAATCTTCGGTATGATAAATTATCATTTGAACCTGATTTGATACTTTTTGTCCCCCGCTTGAAAAGTGGGAGATATTAATTTTGGTCTATCTGTCATTCCGTCCGTTTAGCTGTCCGTCCATCCGTCTTTCTGTTACGCTTTCGTTTCCACACGATATCTCACCAACCCTTTAAACATTTGCAGAAATTTAACATACGGAATCCCTGTGGCCTTAGGCAAACCCCTTTTGAATTTGGGGTCAAAAGGTCAACATTCAATGTCGTAAAGAACTACAAACGATAGTATTGTTCTTCCACCTATCCCTTAGTCAAAAAAAGCTCTCAAAAGTTAACATATTGGAATGATTCTAAAAAAAATATAGATATTTATATGAATTTTCAAAAAACCTTACTTATTTGGGATACCAAAGAGAAATAACTCTATAATTTTCGCAAAACTTGTGTTTTTAAATACCTGGAGTTTAACAGAGAGATTATCAGATATGGTATCAAATTAACATCGAAAAGCCGACAGGTACTGTAGATTCCTTAATATAAGCGAGAAATTAATTTCTGCGTAATTTTGCGAGAAGTATCACTCGCCAAAAAATATTACTTGCTTTTATTTTTCTGGTGCTTAAATCTATGTAAAATCTGTTCATTAACCGTTCATACGTGAATTATAATTCTAGCAATTTGACGTTTGAGAGCCAGTTCGCGATAAAAAACACTCGCGAAGAATAAGGAATTTACAGCTAGTAATTTTAATATTCTGATTTTCCTGAAAATGAACATAAATAGACTTTGAGATTTAAAAGAACAAAATTTTGATTTACAACAGACTTCTTTGTACAGTGCTTATACTGTATTTAGAATACTCTTTTTTCAAATGTCATTGACACTTAAGGTTACGAGTTATAGAAATAGATATATCTGAGTGGGAATGATAAACCTTTATTCAGCCAGTCTTTTCTTCGTTTTCCGTTTCTTGGTTTTCTTCAATCCATCAGTTTTTAGAAAGAAACACATCAAAGTAAGGGCACCGCAAAGCGGAGCATTCCTTCCCAAAAAAGCATGTTCAGTAAATCATTTGACATCGATCCCGATACAAATTACGTCAATTCCACACAGAAAAAACTAACATACACATAAAGTAATAACACACATAATCGCATCACTATATCCCATCAAACGTTGCGAGAGGATAATACTGTTGTCTATTTCTAAAATATAAGTCTAAGTCTAAAATATAAGTCTAATGCCTTTTGTTTCATGGAAATTGAGTTAAATGTCTACATGGTGTAAAATTATGATTTACAGATTTAACGCACTTTGAAAAAAAGTGCGTTGATTTGGTCCCAAATTTAACGCACTTTGAAAAAATTTTTCATAGTGCGTTAACCTGGTCCCAAAACTTAACGCACTTTTCCAAAGTGCGTAATTTTTCAAAGTGCGTTGTAACAAACCCCTACGAAAAATTAAAAATTATAAATATACATGTAAATTAATGTGCTACATTGCTGCCTGCTATCAAAAAAGGTGGGTAATAGAAAATAAAACACAGCTGTGAAAGAAGGGGTGGATGGTCGGTACGAAAAATCGAGCAGTGATAATGTTGCGACTTTCCTTTCTGATAAAAAGATAAACAATGAACACGTGATAACAAATCGCTCTGCTGATTGGTTGAAAATGGTTATGAAAGGGCTAAATCAAGTTACATAAGTAAAACCCGGTTGACACATTGTATAAGACTATAACAAAAGAGAAATAGTTATGCAAGAACTTAATATGAAGGCATATACAAGAACATGTCACATAAAGGTCATCATTTACCATAATAACTTATTTATGTTCCTTAGTTCTCCTGTTAGTCAACTGGGCTTGTTTTTTGGTTAAAGCAGGCAAAAACAAACAACATTATTGAAGTGAAAAAATGTCATTTATTGAAGTAAATGACCTAAAATTAGTAAAAACATATTAACAATACAAGACAGGGGCCAGAAAGGGGGACTTAAATATAAAATATTACATATCTTTATCACACTATTGCACAATCTGACCCCCAGCACCATAATGTCATTGAAAATTTTATTCAAAGAAAACAGGGGGAACCACCAGTAGACTAATTAAGAAAACAAAGCATGGAAAAAACATTGGCATGTATAGTATACATGTATCTTAGTTGACCCCCTACGAAACATAAAAAAAAATTATAAATATACATGAGAAAAAATGTGCTACATTGCTGCCTGCTATCAAAAAAGGTGGGTAAAAGAAAATAATTATAAAACACAAGTACAATCCAATTGCAAATTTGATCCATCCACCCAAAGATTCTTTTCCTTCTGTTTCAGTTGTTCCTATTGACTGTAAGGATTTCCGTGATACTGGTCACACTTATACAGGTGTGTATGAAATCTATCCCTTTGGGACAACCTCGCGTCCTCTACGGGTTTATTGTGACATGGATACTTTGGCGGGAGGATGGAGGGTATGTAGTTTATGTAGCAAAAAATTACATCTCGTTACACTAGCCAAAAAATACTATATTTAACTGTAGTTTACTAAGTGAAATACAGTTATAATTTTGACACGTTGAAAACTTTGATTTACTATAGAGATTACTTTGACACATTGAAAAACTTTGTCAAAATATATTTAACACTTTGTAAAACTTTATAGAAAACTGACACGCTGAGAAAAGTTTCACGAAAACTTTGACACTTTGAAAAACTTTCCAAAAACTTTGAGACTTTGAAAAACATTGGCAAAAATTTTGACACTTAAAAAATTTTGGGAAAACTTTGACCCTTTGAAAAACCTGGGTAAAAAATCTGACGCTTTTATAAACTTTGGGGAAAACTTTGACACTGTGAAAAACTTTGAGGAAAACTTTGACACTTTCGAGAACTTTATCGAAAACTTGGCAACTTTGAAAATCTTTTGTGAAAATTTGGCTCTTTGCAAATTTGATAAAAAACCTGGACACTTTGACCAACTGTATCAAAAAGATTTAACACTTTGAAAAAAATATCGAAAACTATGATGCTTTGAAAAAAAAAATATAAAGTTTGACACATTAAAAAAAATTATCGAAAACGTTCACTAGCTCTGAAAAACTTTATCAAAATGTATTTAACACTTTGAAAAACTTTATAGAAAACTGACACTCTGAGAAAATTTTGACGAAAACTTTGACACATTGAAAACTTTATCAAAAACTATGACACTTTGAAAAACATGGGCAAAAACTTTGACACTCTGAAAAAAAACTTTGGCGAAAGCTATGACACTTTGAAGAACTTTGCAATAAGTATAACGCTTTGATTAACTATAGTTAACTACAGTTAACTTTAATAGTTAACTATAGTTAACTACAATAGTTAACTGTAATGGTTATCTATAGTTAACTAGATTCAACAATAGTTCTTTTTGTTAGGGTAACTGGAATCAATAATTTTGTAAGCTGGAATCGTTAATTTTTTGGTCTAAAGGTCTGAAGGGATACTTGATTCATTATGTAAAAGTGCAAAAAAGATAAAGCAAATGATAATAATGAAACATGTTAAGTATAATTGTTTATCTTTTCAAGGCTATTCAAAAACGAAAAGATGGTTCCCTGACCTTTTATAAGAATTGGGATGACGATAAAATTGGTTGCGCCTAAACAGAATGTATGGATAGGTGAATATGATTTATTGATCCACTTCATATTTTGAAAAAAAAAATTGTAATGAAATTTCAGATTTGGTAGCAAATTGCAGAATTTAAGGCAAAATTTCATTCATTTCCAGCATGGTTTTAGAATTTATAGATTTAAAGAAAAAAAATATTGATTTAATAATACGCATTCTCCTCAAATAACAAGATTTCAATCAAATATTAAAGTGACTAAAGGTTAAGTTATGTATTAAATTACGTTGAAGTATATCAGATTTCAGACTACTAATTGATTTGTCTTTAAGATATATTTATTTACAATATAGAAATTAAGTGTACCACAGTATTTAAGGACACTTATCACTGAATTTCATATATACCTGAATAAGGAGATGACGTTATACATCAGTTGACAAAGGGACACAACTCTTTTCTCTACATTTCCATCATGTTATCGAATGGTACAACACTGTATGAGCTGTATGATCATTTCTCTATTTCTGATGAAGCTGAAAAGTATCAGCTGTTTCTGTCTGGACCTGCCACGGGAACTTTAGGTAAGTGAAAAGTGGAATGTTTACCTTAAATAATGACAAACACTGATATTTATCAATGTAAAAGATATCAGAAGTAATAGACAACTAACTATGTTATATCAATTTCTGAAATATGAAGACTATGTTATTACAATGCTGTGCTTATTTGCGTTTGAGAAATCTGGCATGTTCTTGTAACAGGGGTCAATTGTGTATCCTGATAGATACTTTAATAAGCACATGACACCTGTGGGTTCGTTTGATGAATTTATTGTTGGTATTATCAAGAGATAATATACTGTTTATAATACCCTGTAAATATACATATAAATAATATTAGTACATTTTTATATAATCAAAATGACAATTCTATAAACATACAAAATTCATAAAATCACAATACATTTATTTAATTCTTACAATGCATACTTTGAAAGAGTTATTCCCCTTTTCACAGCATTTATAAAAATCTACATTTATATACTTGTACAATTCATATTTTTTCCTTTGAAACATATATTGAAATGTTTAATATTCATTATTACAATCATTAAGTGAATTCTACGTCCACTTTTTAACTAGGGATATATTAAAATGATAAGTACATTTGTAAAAATATGAAATGTACCTGTTTATGGAACAGAGTGCCTAGTACCTTTGATTTACATTACTCCAGGAACTGTATCATTGTTTAAACTGTAAGAAAATAATTTCATTCACGCTCAACTCTTACACACTCAATATTTCCTTAAATTATTAATTTCAGATAAATTCATACACTTTGAAATATATTTCATTAATAAGAAGTAAATTTGTTACTTACATATCAGTAGCTGGTAACAAGGTCACATTTAAATTAAGTTAACTGTTTGCAGGATATTTAGAAAACTAAGTCTTTCCAGTCTGGAATCAATAAGCTGAATGTTTTTGTCTGTTTCCAGAATTTGGAGGTAAAAGTCCTGACCAATAGGATTTAAGGAAATTGAATTCTACTCAGGTTGCTTATTACAGGTGTAGAAATAGAAAAGGAGTGGGTCTCTTATTATGCTCTTATTTTGTATATTTGTTTAATGGACGTTGCGATTGAATACTTTTCGTTATTTCAATATCCTTCTTATCTTAAATTTTAGCTGATTATTAATTTTATTTCATTTAGTTTGTTTTATTTATTTTTTTAAAATGTATTTTATTTGCTTAATTATTTAAATGAAAGGTTTCAATATTTGAGTTTAAATTATTTGTTTTGGTCAATATAAATCGACACACAAATTTAATAATAAATTCACTTCAGAATTTAAAATCAGTTGTGGCATATTCATAATGTATAAGTAATTAATTATACATTTGAATATTATAATAATTAAAACAACATAAAAATAATCACTATTACATTCTGACAAGGTATTTTACTTAGGCTTACCTGGACACAGCGCCCGTTTACTAAATAGACGTTTTGAATTATTGTATTTAAGGCAGATTCCTATATTTCAGCTTAATTAAATCTTGAATTTTTCTTCAAAAATGCATAGAAAGGGGAAGCTTAATAGTAAAAATATGCATTTAATAATCGAGAAAACTACCTTCATGCTACGTATCGAATTGCATTGTATTAATGTGTTTTAATATATTTGTAAAAACAATTTAATCACGTTCTTGATTTTATGCTCTTTTTTGATTCGACAGGTGACAGTATGTTAAATACTGATTATTCTTGGGCGGATCTGTCTGGGATGTATTTTTCTAACCCAGATAGAGATAACTATAAATTGACTGGGGGTAACTGTGCTGCTGACAGTCAGATGAGGGGCGGCTGGTGGTTTAATACATGTCACCTAGCCTTCCTCAACGGTCAATGGTTCCCGGGAAACTGGAAGGATCCCTGGTATCCAATAAGGATCGGGAAGTCAGTTAGAGGGACCATGATGCTGATTCAACGTCATTAGTTTATCTCCAGTCATTATCATTTATAAATACAGTGAATACTCTTATATCATTCAAAGATACGTTATCTATACATTATCTATTATATGTATATCATCAATACATACATAAACTATTTGCATTTTTATGATATGCTAAAACAGTTAAAATGATATATTTTGTGTCCTCTATTCTCGATGTATGGTATTTTATATTGTTTATGAAGAATGAAATGTATTTTATTTAATCTTTATATATCTTGAATATATAATTTTTGATTTATTTTTTTGTTCAAATTCTACAGATAGGATTTCAAGAAGAAGCCACGTTTGAAGACCACATACGTTTTTAACGCTGTTACACTAAAGGGGACAGCTTTCTCTCTGTGTTTAATTTTAGTTAATTCTAACAGGAATGTAGTTTCTATTTTCTAAGAACAATAACTAGAAATATTTAACGAAAACATGTTTCTGGATAACTTTCAGAGGGAAAAAAAAGAAAAACGGTTCATTATATAAATTGCATTCTAGAAGAACTTGGATTTAATTCTACAAGTGGTAACCCTACTTATACATATACTTCTCTTTCTAAGGAAGAAATTCTTCAAAATCACCTGTCAGTTTTAAATACTTTTAATATTCCACAGAGCCAAAATGAATTTGAACTACCTAAAATATATTGGATTCCAAAACTTTATAAGAATCCTTACAAAGATACATTGCAGATTCCAGTAAATGTTCAATCAAGCCTCCTTTGATACTTCTCACTAAAATATTGACTGAAATGAAGGAAAAACTTCAAGAGTATTGTACAACTATATATTCAAAAAGTGGTGTAAATCAGATGTGGATACCAAAAAATTCTAAAGAACTTTTGGACAATTTGAAATCACATGACTTTACAAAAATCAACAGCATAAAAACGTACGACTTTTCAACTTTATACACAACAATTCCCCACGACAGATTAAAATCCAGGCTTTTTGATATCATTGAGAGCTGCTTTTTCAACAAAAATGAAACTCGTTAGTTTACTTACCTCGTCATTGGTCATTTGAAAAATTATTTTGTTAAAACAGATTCTGATTGCACACATAAGTTCTCTGAAGTTGACATCAAGAAGATGCTTGAGTTTCTGATTGACAATATCTTTGTGGTCTTTGGAGACCAGGTATTCCAACAATATGTTGGAATTCCCATGGGTACAAATTGCATTCCGTTATTAGCAGACTTATTTTTATATTCATATGAAGCAGAATTTATGCAAAATCTTTTACGTGAAAAGAAGAAAACACTTGCTGTGGCCTTCAAATCGACATTTAGATATATCGACGACGTATTGTCAATTAATAATGATAATTTCCATTCCTACGTCGACAGGATATATCCTGATGAGCTTGAGATAAAAGATACCATAGAGTCCGACACTTCTGTTTCATACTTGAATATTTTACTTGAAAAAGACACTAATGGTAATCTGACAACCAAGCTATATGATAAACGTGATGACTTCAACTTTTCTATCGTCAACTTCCCATACTTATGCAGCAATATACCTTTATCACCTGCATACGGAGTATTTATATCTCAGTTGATTCGATACGCAAGAGCATGCTCTACGTATGAACAATTTCTTAAACGAGGTTAATTATTGAGAAGCAAGTCGATGAAACCTTTATCACCTGCATACAGAGTATTTATATCTCAGTTGATTCGATACGCAAGTGCATGCTCTACGTATGAACAATTTCTACAAACGAGGTAAATTATTGAGAAGCAAGTCGCTGAAACAAGAATATCAACAGTCTCGTTAAAAGTCATCATTTCGTAAATTCTGTGGTCGATACAATGACCTTGTCAGCAAATACAATTTATCATTGAATGAAATACTGACTGACGTTTTTCATACCAATTGTAAGTCCATTATTTATACACTGAATTGACCACGGATTTTTTCCGTTATTTCCTGATTATGACAACAAGCACACGGCGGGTGTGACCGGTCGGCAGGGGATGCTCACTCCTCCATGGCACCTAATCCCACCTCTTATAATTCGGAGGTCCGTGTTTGCTCTGCTCTTATTTTGTATATTTGTTTAATGGACGTTGAGATTGAATACTGTTCGTTATTTCCATATCCTTCTTCTAATGTAAACAGATGTTAAAAAGAGAGAGTGTGTGTGTGAAATCCCTTTTTTCACCAAAAATATTTGGTATACATGAAAAGTGAAAGATTGACCGAATTTTAAGAAAAAAGAAATTAAGGGGGGGGGGGCATTAATAAATATTTTCACTTCAAGTAAACATTATGTTTGAAAAAAGAGGATCACCCCAGAAACCTGTCTGCAGTTTTTTTTCTAATATGTTTCTAATTAAAAAAAGGAATTTAATTGTAAGTGTTAAAAATAAACAAAAGAAACTAAACAGAAATATTTTGTTGTAACAGGGAGATATCTTATACATATTATTATACTGTAAAACATATTATACAATTATGGACTCTTTTGGTGTTGGATATGATTTGTTATTCACCAGAAAAATATTCATATTGACCGAGGCGAAGCCATATTCAACCATATTCAACACCAAAAGAGTCCATAATTGTTTTATTATATAGTCGAGATTTGAATAGATAAGACATTGAAGGCAGTATGACGACACCATTTTCATTTGCGATCTTCCAATTTTGAAAATGAAAAAATCCAGATTACAGTTTGTAACTTCCGTGTTTTTTCCCGAGTTTTGCTATGTGTAAGACGTCCAAATATTAAAAAATAATCCTGAAATATGTTTGAATAATTGTTTTCCTGCGTAGATACGTAGCTCGCTGCGGCTGTTGCAACCAATGTTTACAACGTTGTTTGACGTTTTGATTGTGATGTCACAATGCCATTGCATGTGCATTTACCCTCCGGTGAATACGGCTTAAAATCGAGTGAATATGTAGTGTTATGAACTGTTTGCGTTTGTATAGATTATATAGGGACTATAAATAGACAATATATTAATGTAAAATATATATATACATTATTAACTACATGTTTGACCGTTTTTTCTTGCTAAAGAGAAATTTATTTCGCGTCATACTTCTTTCTCACGAAAATATAATCTTCTACATAATAGACCAATTACAACAGGGAAAAAAAACCTTTCATTTCTCTTCCTTTCGATAGTGAGCTTGTCTAAAGAAGGTTTATCTTCGCTACTCAGCAAGATATTTTTGTTTTAATGACACAATATCAATGAAATTAAGCAATGAATTTTAATAAAGGATTTATAAATTCGGGCTTTATTTTGAAATGGTCGCCCGCGTGGCGCAGTGGTTAGAGCGTCTGCTCTAGAGTCGCGAAGTAAGGAGTCAATCATTACGTCGCGGGTTCGAATCCCACTGCGGGACGTGGAGACCGGTTCTTTGGATGAGACCGTATAAACCAAGGCCCTGTGTCGCAGTAGGTGTTGGCACAAAAAAGATCCCTCACTGCTCAAAGGCCCTGAGTACCGAGTATAGGACAAAAATTTGCAGCCCTCCACCGGCAAGTGGTGGCGTCTCCATATGAGTGAAAAATTCTCGAGAGGAACGTTAAACAATATACAATCAATCCATATTTTGAAATGATTGATGATTGCGTTCTCCAAAAGTTAAAGCGGTCCTCATTAGTGACACTGGCAGGGCTTTTTTCTATTTTCCTATGATGCGTATTGTTGTAACTCTGTGTAATAGCATTTAAATCGTTAATCCAACAATGCTATTGACTATGGGTCATAAACGCACTAATTTGGATTTTAAAGTTCTAATGACTCATTCTGCATAAGACGCTTTAACGGAATTTTGAGTGACGGGATGTTTTATTTTTGGAAATTTTAATTGATAGGCGGTTTACATTTGTATTAACAAATCCACTGCCTTTGTATGTTAGCAAAACATTGGGCTTTCTACCACTCTGAAAAATACTTCGGAAAGTATTTGTCATTTCTACACCTTTTCTTGTTTTTAAGGACGGGTCCACACAAAGCAGGAGAAAAAGTCAATGACGAGCAGAAAACACGTATAACCGTTATTCGATGATTTATAGGAATTTCAAATAACCGTATCTGCATGCCACTGATAATCAATGTAAGTTGCAATTGCTTTACGCCTTGGAAATTTATTTCTTGACTGAAATTTTTCTTGCTCTTGCAGCCAGTTTTTTTATTTCATTTCTGGAAATTCGATATAGACCATCTTTTTTAATTTCTCTGTATCATCCCAAACAGAAAAAGCAGGCTATCGGATCATGCTAACAATTCATGTGTAATGTGTAAATTCTGACCTTGATCAGCTGCAAACCACTGTACTATAGCGTGCCGCCCAGCAGGAGAATTGCATAACAAGGTTACTATGACTCTGAAACTGACCAGTGATCCAATGCCTCAAAGTTATAGATTGGGAGTTGATCGCAAATAGTACACGAAGAGAAAGAGTTTTAATAAAATCCTGTCTGCGTTATTTAAACAAAATACATGTGTGCTAATTTAAATATGAATTACTGTACTTGTTTGTCATTTCATTCGACTTCAAAAAAAGTTATTGTCTTTGTTACATACTTACCTGTACATGCTGTGTCCATTTTAATTATTAAAACTTATTTTTTCTGTTTTCTTTTAAATAAGACTTTTATTGATGTATGCATGTTGTTTGATTCTCCAAGCTAGAGTGAATTAAAGCTTGCATTTTCACTTATCATAGATTACAAAGTTAACAAACCATATCAGAATCACACAATCAATTCTGACAAAGATTACAAATCATATAAAACTCATGATTCTCAACAGAGAAGTTAAAAGACCATGTGTAACTCGTATGGAGTTTAAAGACAAAGTTATGAAACCAAATCAAATTCACAATCTTTTAGCAGTTAAAGATAACGAATCATTTCAAACTCATGTTCCTTTGTTTTCTAAGTTAAAGGCACACATCAGAATA